TGAGCACGAGTTTTGCGCGAAAATGAGGGCTTCTGCTCGTTATCGGCTGGAGTTTAGTTCTAAACAAACCTCGAGTAACGTTAAACGTCCAGGAACGAGCGCCTACTTTACAAACTCGTTTCCCTGGAGACCAAATAACAAATGAAGCTCTGCAAATTCCTTCACACGAATCGTGTTTCTTTCGGCAGCTCTTGTTTGAATTTTTTTTTTTTTTTACATATTTATGTTACGTATGTTAAATACGTAATCTAAATGAATACATTTATGTTAATCTACGTCATTGAGAAATCAGATGTAAGGTAATACAACTTGAACTTTATTGATGCATGCATGAATAAAAAGTTTAATCAACAATCAGCCAGTAGGTTACTTTACTTTTCCAACATTTTAAATCAAAATAAAATATGTAAATATGACTATAAGCAAAAATATACAATATTATTTTACTTCAATTCTGCAGTCTCAGCAAACTGACATCCTGCCATTATCTTTCTATTCATTCCCTTAAGACAGGACATATATAAATACAAAATGAGCCCATCAAAGTGAATTAGTGATAATGCAAAGGTGCTGCTATTGTACAACTCCAAGGCGACATTTAAGACATAAGATTAGAAGTCACAATGCTAACTTTACCTTATGAACACATATTTCTTGTGATGAAATGATGTGATGAGAAAGACAAGTGGGCATTTCATCACGACTGTTTGGATTTGTTCTTTGATATCATATCTACAAAACTATACAGTGCAAACAAGCTGACCAATTCTACAAGTTTCATATCCACAGTGTCACCGATATGACTGTAATACTGGTGTTTCTCCACAGCTTTTCTGTGCTAAATATGCACACAGTATTCTCCATGGTAGAGCCTTTGTAGTTCACATGCTGGAAGTTCTGGGGACATCTTGACAGTCAGCAAGGTTAAGCTTTTGTCTAAGGAATTACAGTTAAGGATTTTATACTCCGTCAAGGCATAAAAGAAATGACTTGTGTTAGACAACCTGTAAAAGAACAGTTTGATTTTAAGGATGTAGCATGCTGCTGTCAGATCATGCAATTAGTAGGAATGTGTTGGACAACTTGTATGTATTCAATAATTATATTATTGCACCCGAAAATGCATGCTTTGAAATGAGTCAGATCATTTACTAAGTAGATATACGTTTTGCATTAAAAATTTATGTTTTGCAGTCAGCCAGTAAGAATGAGTCCAAACATCTGATAAAAACCTTACAATAATCCACAAGTAATATGCATGCATGAGCAAAAAACTGCGTGTTTTTTAAGAAACAAACTCATCAAGAAGTTTTTACCTTCAGCTTCCAGCTAAAATAAAAGTCATCTATCCATAACATTGCCTACTCCAGTGAAAAAGTTATCTCGTCTGACTCAGAGAAATATTCACTGATCAAGCACCGTTTACAAGCAAAAAGAGTTCTAAACATATTCAACATATAAACATTTCACTGGAGGATGCGTTGTTATGGATTGTTATGGCTTTACAAACACTAAGGGATGTTAACTGTTGAACTGGAGTCATCTGGATTACAGGAAGATTATTGTGATGTTTTTATCATCTGTTTGGACTCTCATTCTGACGGCACCCATTCACTGCAGAGGATCCATTGGTGAGCAAATAATGCAATGCTAAATTTCTCCAAATCTGTTCCAATGAAGAAACAAACTTACTGACATCTTGGATGACCTGAGGGAGAGTGCATTTTTAGCAAATTTTCATTTTTGGGTGAACTATTTCTTTAACTAACCACTATAACAGCATCCATTTGAAAGTCATCGACATAACTGTTAAAACCATGAAAGGATACATTGAGGAGCTTAACTCTTCCAGCTGAAGGGAAAAAGTGAACTTCATTAGACTGTCTGGACAATTGCATGAAAGAACTCAGATTTGTGGATTTCATGACCAATTATTTAATATTGCTTTGCTTACATTTAATAACAGTTTATCCATGTTAGTGTCATAGGCGGACTTCCTCTGGTCTTCTGGCAACTCATCCACTTCTCCATACAGGTCGAAGTGCAGACGAGCCAGTGTTTCCTGCATTTCTCTCACATGCTCCATCTGATCGATGGAGCACTCATTGCCTGATTCAGAGAAGATTCTGATTTCAATCAAAACTGTAAACACACTTTAATATAGCTGCACCATACTGTAAGAGCTTACCAAAGGCTTGTAATTTTCCAGAGTGGAAGTCATTAAGAAGGCTGAGCAGCCCCTTCTCCATCTCCTGAACATCGGACACATCTGTGAGAAACGAGTGCTGGATGCGGACAGACTGGTTACTCTTACTCGACTGACTCTGAGGCCTTGGTTTGTCTCGCACTCCCCTAAAACAAAATAAATAAATGAACCAAAATATGAAGAGTGAAATATGAAACTGCAATTTTAATAACTTACACAGATTTAATACGATGATAGATGACACTCACCTGCGATACTTTGTCCTCTGACTGGAGTGTGTGACCACACCACCAACACCGAATGATCTGCTGCCGGATGTTGTCGTTTTCCGGGCAGTGATTGGGGGAGGAGGCTGGTTGGAAGACGGTTTTGGGCTTTTACGTTTCTTATTCTTTTCCTCCATTGTGTCATCCAAATTACCTACAGAATAAAATAATACTTATAAGCAGAGGAGCCTGACAAGTTTTAAGGAATTTCAGTTTACATTAAAACCATATATTTGATAATGATGCCCTGCAAGCTTCAGTTTTGGTAATGTTACATAATCCAGAGGTTCCCAACCTTTTTGACTACAAGCCCCCCATTTTCCAAGACAACATTTAAAAGCCCCATATGTAGGCCAATATATTTCCAAACTTTGTATTACTAGAAAGGGTGTTGACACTACCATAATGAACCACAATTAGTTTGCATGACTCCAGAAGTTTCAAGAACTGTATGTTCTGCTATAAAAACAACAGTTATTGGGAGGATAAATAAAAAAAATAAAAATAAAAATAAAAACCTGACTTAATTTTTAGCAGTATATAGCATTGTAATGAAGTCAGATTTTGGAATATAACTTTTAAATAATATAAATCCGAATAAAATATACATTTGAAATAATTTTAAATTAATTTTGTAGCCTCCGCGGAAGGCCCCCTAGCGGGCCCCTGACCCCCCAGCTGAGAACCACTTATCCGAGATTACAGTAGAATGTTAAGCGTTTTGTTCATGATGAGCAGGCGACAAAATAATTCACACCGCAATCAAACTTAATATAAACAATGCCCGGTGATATTAAACAGTCTTATCGCGTGTATTAACACGCGCTTCTAATCCTGTTTTACAGTAACACGCAACATGTAAATAATATGCGAGCGAGTCAAGTGCGGCGTGAGTCGTGAACAACATGCCTAATAATCACGAGGGCAGTGTAGTAACGCATGCACCATTGTAGTCGACAGCATACAAGTATAATTTTACCGCACAAAGGAAGACTCCACTTTTTAGACTGAAATATTATCCCCTTTGAAAGACATTCTCGATGAGATTAGGCTGCTCTAAAGTTGGCACAGCTGACCAGCAAGTTTACAAAAGGCACTTCCGGGATTTTCACGTCATCGTGGTGATATCAACACGCCCTGCGTCCCAATGTTCATACTATCCATCCTTATTAGTATGTGAGATTAGAACGTGTCCCAAAGCATATTATGTTGAAAAGAGTATGCCAAAAGTCCCCGGATGGTCTACTATTTCAGGAAGATTTTTTAAGTGTGGATCCGTGCACACTCTAATGGCTAATATTGCCCACAATTCATTGCGCTTTGGCGAAGGATTCGGTTCAGAACTACAAACACGATTTAAAAAGCGTTAAAAAACTACAAACATGGCGGATGTGCTCGACCGTGAGGTTTAGATAACGGGGTTTGAGTTACTAATAATTCAAAAAAGAACGTGCTACTTCTTTTCTCTCCAGTACGGTAGGAAGTTAAATGAAATGAAATGTGGAGGATGTTAACTGTGACAAGATTTTTGACAGGCCAGTCAGTGAAAGGATGCGACAGAGCGGACGTAGTATGTCCCACAGCTTGCGTACTCTTCTACTACACACTCATAAGTGTGTACTTTTTCTTCACCAAAAGAGCACTTCTTCTTCTTCTTGTGTTTTTTTTAATTTTTTTTTATGGCAGTTGGCAAACAACTTTAAGGTATATACCGCCACGTGCTGGTTAGGGGTGTGGGCCAAGGTCACACAACCCTTTTCCCAGTATCCCTTACACACCTACATTCTTTTATCTAATTCAGTCTTTTTCAGATATTGCATTAAAAAAAATCAAAACCTTCGTCACATGAGTACCTTTGTAATATGTTTGTTAAATCAAACTTAATATTAATTCAAAATCAAATCATTGTTTTCCTTTCACTATTATACTTTGGGCATTTTCATTACAACATGCTCTTCATTTTCTTGTTAATTACAATGCTCACATTTTTCTGTCTCATGTTTTCCTATTTTATACAAGGTACTATTAAGTGCTGTATGCCCAAATCTAAATAATTATTTATTCCTTTCTATTTCTCCTTGTTACTCTACCTTTACCAGCATTTCTTTGGATGTTATAAAGCCATCTTCCCGTTCTTTCTTCTTCTTGTTTTAATCCCATTTTTTAATCCAATTTAAAAAAAAAAACATTTAAATGGAAGTCTGACTGGTTAGTTCTTTTGAAATATTGTATAATAAACCAGATACAGACAGCCACTTAAAGATCCACTAAAAAGCCACTAAATCGCTACAGTGGTCCAATTAAATGTCATATATTTAAAAAAATCATTACTCTAATGACGCACCAGAAACAGCCACGTCTCTTCTTATTTTATTTTTTTTTATACAGGAACTAAGTAATAATATATATTTTTCTATTTATTGAGTGATCTATTAAATTATTAACTACCTCAAATAAACGCTTCACCCCATCCTTTCTAGTGTAATTAATAATTACCTTTTCTATTTATACTCGCTTCTCTTTGACGCATGCGCACCAAGTCACCTGTCATATGACTGCGCATGCGCACCATTGTCATGCTCTGTCTGAAGGAATTTCGGAGAGTTTGGATCAGCGCGAACAATAAACGCTTTCTAAAGACGTAGACCGATCGATCCCAGTCTTATCCTTATCCTGTCCCGGAATCAACCTCAGTAAGTAGCGAGTGAATCGTTGTGCTCCAGGTTGCGTCCAGTATTTAAAAACAAGAGGATGTTAATGCGTTTCTACTTCCCCAAAGCGGAACTGAATACGAGACCAACTCACCTACTTCTGTCTTAAATAAACAAACACATTTTATCAGTAAGTTAGCGATAAAGAACACCGTGAAACATCATGAGTAAACCGTAAGTAAAAAAAAAAAACCGACCGTAAATAGTGGTGTTGGGATCTTGGAGACTTGGGAAAATCACGAGGACTTTCCCCACTTTCAAAGTACGGTACTAACTTTCTTATCGCGCTCATTTATTTAACGTTACCTGACGAAATTGTGCTCCGTCCTTCTGGCTTTGGGTGTAAACCGTACATCTTGGAATCAGCAGCGTTAAACATCATTGCAATGTCAGATTATACTCTCTGATAAGATTTGGTTTTCTTCTTTAAGAAACAAATATGTGTGGTTTCCTGTATGTCAGTGTGGAGGATTTGTCAGATCTTCATATTGTAGTTTAATCCCATATGAACATAATGCAGGTCCAGATAGTGCTGTTTATAGCGTGTCTGATGCAGAATACAGTGAAAATGGTGTAAGAGACATGACGTAATGACCGTACCTTGAAGAACCTGTTTTTGTTGACAAGCTGGAAATGCTTAATTCTTAAAGAGGCGTTTCTCATGGATGGACTGTTCAATGAAGTCTGTAACGTTGACATTCAGGATCATGCTAATCCCCTTAAAACACACCTGTTGTTAAAAAGAACCTTGGATAAGTAAGATGAGTGGATAAGAAGTGAGTTTAAAGGGATAACTTACCCCAAAATGAAAATTCTGTCATCATTTATTCACCCTTATGTTGTGCCAAACCTGAATGACTTTCACAAAAGCAAATGTAAGGCAGAATTTGCCTCGGTCATTATTATCTTTCATTGCATCTTTTGTCTTTTTTTGTGCTACACAGAAGAAATCAAGTCATGCGGGTTTGGAACAACACGAGTGAAACATTTTGGCTGAAATATTCTTTTAAGTTTGTTTGTGTGAATTTGCGTCTACCTTGTTGGAATTTGAAACAGGAAAAGGCTGTAGAAATGAAGGAAAAGACATATGAGATCTGTTTCCTGTGTGCAGACAGACCTGTTACACACTCATAAGCACTTTATTAGTCTTTTTACCGCAGTTTTACTACAGTGCATGTGAGATTTTTATAAGCTGGGACAGTTATATACTAGTCGATAATTGACTTGTAGTGTCCTCAGTATCTGTTTATCCATTAATTTTTTATGAGTATTTCTGCTCTTCAGGATTCTTTGCAATGAAATACACCGCAAGATGGCATGTGTCTTATGTGGAACACAAAATCTTGATAGAAACATCACACTTCTCTTGTATCTCTCTCACACCCATCTCACACTATTGTTAACAGTGTTTTAAACAGCACAGACATGCGCATTTTCAGTTTTAGGGCGTATAATCTGCGCTGAGTAAATGTGTTGTCTGTACTGTTTATATCCTCTTGACGTTCTCTGAGGTGTAACTTTTAAATAACATGTTTTATCGACTTTGTCATTACTTTTAAAACAATTGACAACTGATGATCACTGTCCATGCTGAATGTCTTTATTTTCATTATATATTTGCACTTTCTCACCCACAATTTTGTCATCTACTCAGCCTTGTGTCACGAAACTTGCAGTATATCATTGGAAAAATAGCGAATGAGTTGTATGGACTACTTTATGGAGTTGAACATTAAATAAGATCATTTGAGCAACATGAGGCTGAGTAATGATGACAGTATTTCCTTCATATTCCAGGTGGTAAATTTCCATGGGAAAGCTTTTTCTGTGGGCACCTTTGTTTGTGTGGCTATGACTGAACTTTGACCTCTTACCTCTAATCTGCAGACCCCAGAGCGTAGAGCTTAAGGCCACAGGAGGGGCAGCAAACTTGGACACCAGCAAGATGGCAGACATGACAGTGGAGGACATCACATTGAGAGCCAACCATGTTACAGATGAGGTATGCTTGTCATCTATTACTATAGCCATATAACAAAAAAGCAATTAAATTGTTTTTTATTAGATGTGATTTTGCAAGTTCCTGTATATGCGCCAACTCATTGTTTGTGACAGCAAAGTCACTGCGAAGTCTTTCTCTCTTTACTCGCAATTTAATTGCTCTGTTTCTCAACCTAATTAAACGTTTCATGCACTAACAGTTGTAAAATAATATTCTTCATGTATTCTTTTTGGCTTTGGGATCTTCCGTGCTACTAAAATCGTCAGATAATGTTAACATCCTCCTTTCTTGCTTTACTCATAACTTTGTTTCTTTCTCTCTTTCTCTTTCTTGCTGCCTCTAAAGGGACTTACATGAGCCTGTGTGCTGTAATAAAGACTAATAGCATGAAGGGGACACTGTACTCATGCACCAAAGCATGGGTGACTGGGGGTAAACAAGAGATCCATGAAACCCCCACCCACTTTACATGTTTTTACTGTGAATGTGCAATTAGTTTTTAAGCACCATTAGAATGTAATAGGTCAAAAGTGGATTAACAATAGCTGGTTTCTTAATAGCCCTATTTGGAAATGTTTTATTTTTCACAGTTATGCCAATATGCCTCCCCATTACTGTGTACATCTTGTGTTCCTTGCATGGTTTCATAGCATTATCTAGGCTTTTCACATTTCTGACACTTTCTGTATTTAACTGCCAGTTTATGTTTTTTTTTCTCATAAATATCTACCCTTTGTGGCTTCATGAGCCAGATGCACTAAAGTGTTCAGTGTGCATTGTTTTATTTGATGTTTGCATCAAATGAATGTTCAACAGAATAAGGGCTGTGTCACATTACCGTAGTTATTTGACTACCTTTTGAATATGTGCATTTTGTTTCTTTCAGTCACTTGAAAGCACTAGGCGGATGCTACAGATGTCAGAGGAGGTAAGAGTTCCATATATATATATACACACACATATATATATACGTGTGTGTATTTATATATACATGTAAATATACACATATATTATGTAAACAAATTTTTAATTTGGATATGATTAATCACGATTAATCGCTTTGACAGCACTAGTACAGATTCATGAACGCTCACAACCACCTGCATTTGAGTTATATAAATCTTGATACAAGTATATGTATATTTTCAGAGCCGCGAGACCGGTGTCAAAACAATGACCATGCTGGATGAGCAGGGAGGTAAGTGACTGCACCATTCCATTCCTCCTCATTCCTGAAACCTACTTTGTTAATCACATTAAACCATTGCTATAATCTGTAAGAACTTCATTTAGGAGATTCTGGCTTGTTAAGACCTCATTTCATCTGCTTCATTCTGTCTTGATCAGAGCAACTGAGGCGAGTCGATCAAGGAATGGACCAGATCAATCAGGACATGAGGCAGGCTGAGAAGAACCTGACTGATCTGTCCAAATGCTGTGGCCTGTGCGTGTGCCCATGTGACAGGTTCGCTATTATAACTCCACTTCTAAGCTCCTGGATTTAAAATATTCTGCATTGTGTTGTATTATATAACATTAAATTCAGTAGTATTTTTGCGGGGACTTCTCTTTGCATATTATTGAAATTAAATGAATTGTCATAAGATCTTTCTGGAGTTAATGAGAGTATTAAAAACCTCCTTTCTTTCAGAGTGACTTCCATTGAGCATGATGGGAGATATAAGAAGACTTGGGGCACAGGTAGTGACAACTCCAGTACAGACAGAAAAGAGGGTGGTGTTGTATCCAGCCAGCCTACTGGTGTTCGCAATGGACAGGCTGTTTCGGGTGGGTCAGCGGGTGGATCTGGCCCCTACATCAAGAGGTGAGGGGAAAAATAGCACTAAATAATGGGAATTCATCCAGTGTCAGACTTGAATCTTTTGATTTGAATCAATTGTTTAAAGCAAGTAAATGAGAACCATATGTTAAAGGTATAGTTCACTCAAAAATGAAAATGACCCCATGATTTACTCACCCTCAAGCCATCCTACGTGTATATGACATCTTAGGTGTGTATTATTAAAACTTTATAAAACATATTCCTCGTTTTATACTTCTAATTTGTGACCGGTGTTTTGTTTTGCTCTCTCCACTGCGCCAAAGTCTCTTTCAAGGAAAGTCTGTTCACTCTGCAGCCATATTTGCAACGCTTCCCTGCAGCTATTTCGGGCATCCAAGACCAAGTCCTATCTAAATGAATGGGGGAATCCTGAAATCTCAAAAAGTGCCTGCTGAACTCACAATTAAGTTTCATATTTCAAATCAGCATCAAAATCTGAAATGAACTGCCCCATGAATGTTGTTCCTTATGCTCAAATAGTGTTAAAAAAAGCGTATTTTTCAGGCTAGACCAGCCAATGCGCATGTGCAGTCATAAGTGCTAGTCTCAGGTTTCTATGGGAACCGGAGCTTCTAACAGCAGCTGCAGTGACGCAATAAGTTTACCAATCAGCGATTGGCTCTTTCAGTTAGAAGGCGGGACTATTCCGCCATATTGCGTGTTGCAGTTTCTCCCATTCATAAGTAATAGCAGTGAATTGTCTTTGTATATTTATAGTCTTTGACTGCGCTTCCGCGTTCATCACTTTGAACCAGAGCTTACGCTACGCCTACGTCCTATGTCATCTGCTGGAACACCACTCTCTTGTGAATGCACATACTACAGTTAGCGGAAGCTAGAGATTACGGTTTATAATACACTTTATTGGACTTCAAAATCTCAACACCCATTCACTGCCATTATAAAGCTTGGAAGAGTCAGGACATTTTTTAAATATAACTCCGATTGTATACATTGTCTTTGCCCTGCCACATAAATACATGTTGACATTTCTGCTTTCCCAAAAGAGTAACAAATGATGCACGAGAAGATGAGATGGAGGAGAATCTGGAGCAGGTGGGCAGCATCATCGGGAATCTCAAGAATTTGGCCATGGATATGGGCAATGAGATCGACAAACAGAACAAAACCATTGACCGCATCACTGATAAGGTAAAGCTACACCATCAAACAGCCAGAGGTCTAATGAAGTAGACCTCTGAAAATATTAATATTTATTTATTTAAATTTTTCCCAGGCTGATATGAATAAAGCTCGCATTGATGAAGCCAACCAGCGAGCCAACAAACTTCTGTAGAGAATGGACACTGCCAGCATCGCTCAGGAGCCTGATTGTTTGATCTCTCTCTCTCTCTCACACACACACACACACACACACACACACACTTTCTGCTTCACAGCAATGAACTGCAGCAAGTGAGTTAAGTTCTTCCAATGCCATCTGCCTTTTTTTTTTTTTACCGTTCTGTTTGTTCTATTGTAAATAGTTGGACACGTGCACACAGATATATTTCAGAGCCTCCTGTACAATCAAGTCTTCACCCTTAATGTATGAGACAAATATGCTGGACGCACCGAGTGCAGTTGTTTTTGTGGCTTTGCTCACTGTGCTCCTCTCAGTCTGTAATGGATGGAGTCTAATCTCTCGGGATGGTGATGGGTTTTGTCCGTCCCTCTCACTGCACTTCAGTCAACATGGCTAATTGCTTCAATAGACTGAATGAGGGGCCAAAGACTTACGACAGAACTTTTAATGTTCTGGTATGCTGCCCTTATAGTCGTTGATATATGTTTGGGCTAATGATATAATGTTTGTTTTCTGTTTAGCTCGATCTATGACTGATTATACTCTTATTTAATCATCTTAAAAGTCATTAATGGGCCTTGTGAATACAGTTAGTCCTGTTCAATGTTTGGGGGGGAAATAATTTACCATGCTATATAGGAATTGGACATTTCAATGTTTTACTGCTAATAAAGCCTGTATAATAATTCCTTGGATGTTTTCCCTTTTTGTGTGTTGAGTCGACTTTACCAGTAGAGGGTGCTGCCACATTACTTTATTTTATGATGAAAATTTGAAGATGGGATTTGAGGTGTTTATTGCCTGTATATACACCAGTGCATTTTCAAAACTAGCATTGTAGGATACACTTAGTTAGTTGACGAGTTCTGTGCCGGGTTCAGACTACACGATATTTTTGTCGGTCACGATAGTCACTGTGTCAGATTACACGATTTTGACTCCTAAAATCTTGTCGTGTCGTGGACAAGAAACATGTCAGACTACACGTTGCTTCCCGACTATTCATCGCCTGCCGTCTTTAACGACGCGTGTGATGTCATCGAGAAGGCGGAACTAGCGACTGACTTCCGAAAACGAGTGTAGGCTAAACATTGCTGAAGCGCTTCCGCTATACGTTAGTTCGCCAGCATTTTTCTTTCTTTGTTCTGTCGTGGTAGTCCCTCGATGACACATCATGCAGGCAGGAGTACTGTTGCCACAGCTCCACAAACCTTTCCTCCATCTCATAATTCCACCTAGCAGCACCATCATCTCTCTTTGGTTGTGCCATGTTTGAAACCTGTGTATGAGAGAGCTTCTGTGCTGCTATTGGTCAACGTCACCAATGTGACAGAACTCGTCGTGGACGATGGAAAAAAAATAAATAAATAAACATGCTAGTCTTTCTGTCGTGATGTTGTGAAGCATCGAAACCTGTGTATGAAAGAGCTTCTGTGCTGCTATTGGTCAACGTCACCAATGTGACAGAACTCGTCGTGGACGATGGAAAATAAATAAATAAATAAACATGCTAGTCTTTCTGTCGTGATGTTGTGAAGCATGGCAGATTTGGAATCGGTTGTCGTCCACTATGACACACTACACGTGCTAAAACGATGGAATCTTGCGTCCCGATGCCCATTGTCGTTTACGAATCCCCAGGACACCCTATGTCAAGCAAATAGTGGCAAAATCGGGCTAAAATCGTGTAGTCTGAACCCGGCATTATTTATCTACCATGGCTGAGAGCTGAGGGCTGTTTTCTGTTAATTCCAGCTTTCATCTGTTCATGGATAGTTCTACTCTTCTCTGGTCTTCCTCAGGAGGATTTAATTATTTGAATTATTTGACGCCTCAAGAACTAGGACAGTGCCTTTGTTTCAACTCCCTTTGAGACTTTCTGTGTCCGGCTGTTTAGGAGACTGCTGAGGAGGGTCCGCATATGCTGTGGAGCCAGAGGAACCATCCTTCAAGTTTTCAGCCAGCCCTGTTCCCTGACAAAGTCTGACAAATGTAATACGACATCGGATGTAATGTAAAAATAAAATCTGATGAAAAATTATTTGTATTTGATGCTACTTGTATAGTAAAACTTTATATTTATTAGAAAACAGAAAGAAATTCACAGTTAAAAGGACAGCTCAGGGTATTTTCCCATGTAGGTCAAAAACTGTCTATACCTTCCCACCCCACTTTGCCACCTCACTTCCTGTTAAGAATGGTTGCCCACTAGAAGTAGCAAAGGCAGCTGCAATACCTGTCATTATCTAATCATGTTAAATATGTTACACTGTGGCTCCAAGCATTGGTTCATCAACATACAAGTTCATACACATGATTTTAAAGAACATACAACTTCAGAATCTGAGAGCTCTGGTCTGGATTAAATATTAGAGGTAAATGTTGAGGTGGGATGTGGTTATTGGTTGGGCAAGTACCTTTAACAGCCCCTTCCTGACTGCATCACTAATGAGAAGTTATGAAAAAGAGGAGTAAATAAACTGTTTCTCCTTTTTTGTACCCACAACTGTCACTGAGGGATTTTTGTGATGCAAAGAGGAAACTTTAACATGTACAACTGAATGATCACAACACTCAGAACTGGAGCATCTTGAGAGTAAATTCACAGATACACATACACTTTTAGAGTAGCTAAAAGAGGCACAAAAATATTCTACTATGTAGACAATCGTCACTTTTACTTTTTCTATTGTTGAAATTCTGCTGCTTAATAGATTATTTAGTGTGTCTTAAATTAATCAAGTTGAGGTGATTGTTACTGAGGTATGAATCATGTTTTATGCCAAGTTAGAGAAAAGATTTGATTAAATCATACCATGATGTGTATTGTTTTATTATTATAATTTCTGATTGGGAGGCTAAGAACTGTTCTCTTTTCATTTATAATTGTCATACATATTTTGACATGAATTTCTGTGGCAGTCTTTGATTATATGCAAATGTATCATCTTAAATTTAACTTATACTTTTACCAGAGTGTATGTAAAGTTTCTTGCCAGCAGAATGGCTGACATGTCAGAGGAGGAGATGATAATTAAAGCCAACCAATTAACAGATGAGGTAAGTTTGTTATCGGATTCCACGAGTATTTATAAGAAGATGATGAGATGAATCCTTCTTGGTTTTTTTTTATTAGTTGCTGTTTTCAAGTTCCTGTAAAATTCCCAGCTCATATGAAAGCAACATTCTTTCATTTCTGTAAACCGAAGATAAAAATACTTATTTTGCCCCATCTTGATATTTTCCAGGTCAAATGTGGTTTTGTGAGAAGTGTGGAAATAGTTTTTTTTACAACCACAGTCTATCAGTAGTAGTAGTGTGGATTCACTCTTCATTCATCTGAAATATTTAACACATACTTTTGTCCTATGTGTGTGCATATGTGTGACATATAAGCTTATTTCCGTCATCAGATAATTCTCTCTAATATCCAGCAATTCAGACTTTTCTGTTAATTTCATTTTTCTCAAATAGTCAGTTACCTTATTTATTTCTTTTTTATCCCATGGCAAAAACAAGCTTCCATAAATATTTGATGTTAACATTTTACTAACTTTCTTTGTATTTGTTTGTCAGTCACTTGAAAGCACTAGACGAATGTTACAAATGACAGAAGAGGTAAGAGGTCTTTTTTTAACCAGTTTAACCAATGACACATGAGTGCTCCTTAAAAACATTGTTGTTATTTATCACACAAAAATGCTGTTGTCATTTGCTCATTGCTTAGAGTTGAACTTGAAACGTGTATTTTTGCAGAGTTTGAATGTTGGGGTCAAAACAATGACTATGCTAGATGAGCAGGGGGGTGAGTCCTTTATCTCAGTACACCTGATTCCTGATGTCTACTTCAGTATAACCACACAATTTGGAGGCCTGTTCACACTAAATCATTTCTGTAGATCTTTATGGATGATGTTTAGAGTACACGGGAGATTAACTAGCAATGAAATGGTTATTTCTTGAACTATAGTCACATTTGCCATTGCTTGGTGAAATTTCATGTTCGAAATACAGTCATTTCTACACAACTGCACAAAAAGGTGAAAAGTTTACCAACGTAGATTTCGCCCTGGGTTCAGGTTGGTCAAGCAAATTTGCTGCTTGGTTGGAAAGTGATCTCTTGTGTGAGAGATATGTACTATACTATACTGTTTTGCATGTGAAATTTTGCTAATATGACTGCCGCACCTTTATTCTCTTTTTTCTTATATTAGAAAAACTAAAGAATGTGGAACAGGAAATGGACCAGATCAAGCAGGACATGAAACAGGCTCGAAAAAACTTGAATGAACTGTCCAAATGCTGTGGCCTCTGTTTGTGCCCTTTCAACAGGTTGGCTAGAGCAAATATCTTATGTATGACAATAAGTTATATATTTGAAGCAGTTACACTGTTTCCGATTACAACACAAATAAGAAGTAAGGAACTGTGGTACAATATTGAAACATAGGCAACTTCAGAAGTTTTCAACCAGAGGGCGGGGGCCATTTGGGGACCAAATAAGCATTAAATGAAAGCGAAAAAATCCAAAATCCAAAAATCAAGATATTTTTTATTTGAATTCTTCCCCTAATTTTGAACCAGGGAACCCTGTCTTGAAAAACCTGGTTATATAAAGAAGTCTAATTTTGAAAGTGTGGTTTTATAGAACAGGAAAAGTAAACTAATAAATTACAATTTATGAATAAATGAATATAAATTTTTTCTAGTTATGTAAAGCTCTACAATATTTTATAGGGTAGAAACTGTGAAGTCAAAAAAAGGCTGAGAACCGCTGGCTACATCTTTCTTCAGGCTTATTATTCAAAAGTAGAGGACTTGCTGTATATGACAGCAAATGTTGTGTTTTGGATACTAGTTCCTAATGTGAAATGTTGGTCTATTGATATCCTCACCAGGTTCTTAACCATCAAGAATTCCTTGGTTTGCCAGCTTTACTGTAAATACCATGCTGGTATAACAGCTTCATCAGCTATGTTTTGTTGGTGAATAGGCTATATGTTGCACCATTATCAGCCTTAAACCAACACTAACCAGCATAAACAAACCTGGCCATACTTTTCAGCAGCGAAAATAAGCTAAATTGGCACTTTTAGTTCAAGGTTTTCACCTCAGTGCTTGTATTTGACGTATTTCTTTGGATTTGAATGGATTCTCTGTCAGACTGAAGTCCACCAAGAATGACTGGAGAAAAAAGCAGGTCAGAAAACCAAAAGAAAGCAAGCGGAACATGGTATCCAGCCAACCGACTGTTGTCCGTGATGGGCAGGCCCCCACTGGCCCCTACATCAAAAGGTGAGGGAAAAATAGCACTGAGAGTAACAGAATCCAGCTCTCATAGAGATCAAATGTGACTGTCTGTTGACATGATAAAGTTAGCTGGAGATTTGTGTTATACATTGCCATATGGCATAAGCTGTTAATTTACATAACTATATGCTTATTTAATAGATGTGGCCTTAAAGGTCTTAGCTGGAAATTCAAGTGATGATTGTTTTCAATTGTTTCTGTAAGAATAACAAATGATGATCGAGAAGATGAGATGGAAGAGAATCTGAATCAGATGGGCAACCGCATTAAGATTTTAAAGAACATGGCACTGGACTTTGGCGACAGGATTGACGACCATATCAAAATAATTGATGATGTCAATGATAAGGTACTCTTATTAAATAACAAGATGGAATTCATTGAGGTAAAGTGTATTTGTCAATCAAGACATTTAGATCTACAATATCTGGCAGTACACACTTAGTGTGACAACTTCTCTTTTCCACACTGACATTTTATAAGTTTGCATTTATTAAGTCAACAAATATCAATTTAAATATTGGTTTAGATAGACAGACAGACAGACAGATAGATAGATAGGTAGATAGATAGATAGATAGACTCCTCAACTGTGACAAATGTGACTCCTCAATTTATTATTAATATAATTATTCATTCATTCATTTTATTTTTTTATTTGCCAGACTGCAACAATTACAAGTGAAGTTGCTGCTGCAGAAAAACAAGCCAGGAAACACCAATAAGACAAATACAGAAAGACCACCAAAACTGTATATTTTCTATACATCTTAGTGTGAACAATTAATTTGTGAATGTTGACCCCCATCCATATTGTCATTGACACTTGTACATATGACAAATAAACTGAAACTGATCCGCAGTTCCCATCCTACATTTATTTTTATTTTTTATTTTTGCTTTTTCTATGATCCATTTCATTCAGATGTACATCATCATATGGAAGAAAAGATCTGCCGCTACTTCCATTTCATCATGACATTAACTCTTTCTGTGCCATTGGTGCCTTTTTATTGTTATTATTATCTTGATGTTTGTAAATATCTGGACAGAGCTGTGACCTTCAGTAATTTGCATAACGAGGCATTATAATTATTGAGCTTTTGGAAAGCTTGATTGCAATGTATGTCTAAATATCTTTCAGACTAAAAGTCTCCATATGACAGGTCAGATCAGAATTTAAATTATAAATAGGGCAATGCCCCAAAAGTGTCAATGAATGAAAATCTCTTTTAATTTGTGTGAACAATGACCAGCAGAGGTTGCTGTTAGACTGTTTTGAAATCTAACCACAAAAAAGTGCTTCCTAAGATGGAGGCCTGAAGAAGCATGTAGCATTTTCTCTGCTTATGTAAGAGAATTTTCTCAGAACTGATCATACAGTATAGGCTATAAAAGCAGAACAAAACACATTAGATTAATTATCCACGTCCTTCTACCTACTATCCGTCATCATTTGTGTTCTCAAAGGGAGACGCTGCAGTAAAGGAAAGCTGTTTCTTTGCCACCGCAAGTTGATTTGCCAGTGCGTTTACTATATGAATATTAAAATTTTTACAGTAGTAGAGACCATTTTTACAATCTGGCCAAGGGTCCTATAAACTCACATGCCAGCTTTGCTTGCAAACTTGCTTGTGTAATTTCTTCTAGTGTATGTAATAACCACTGTTTAGTATTGTATAGCGGTATTCCTAAAATGTATTTAGAATATTTCCCCTAAAGTTTATACTTGATATTACATTCTGACTCATCCATGAGTTATAACACCTGTTCTCCTCGCCTGTGTTTTTCTCGTCACATGAGTTTTTTCTAGTTAGATATGTTCTGTAGTGGTCTTCTTTGCCCTACTACATTATTTTCTGTGGTGAAGAGCAGCAGAGTTTGCTTGCGTCTTGAAAGTAGTCCTATATCAAGCAGTCCAACATTTTAGACTCTTTTTCTTCATTTTCAGAGATACCTATGATGGGCAGACTTTTCGTAAATTACTCTAGACTGTATAATTGCATGTAGTGATATTCAGACCAACATCACAACTGTGATATTTTACGCAACAGTCTAAAAAGCATGATGTTAATATAGAAGAGCTTACATTTTAAACACAATATTGCCATTCACTTAATCTATTTTTGCTGTCAAAAACAGTTATAAATGAAGCCAAAATAGGATTAACCAACCTGCAAATGACAGTAGTGAGTTTAATATCAGAGCCCCTCCTCTAGGGGGAGCCTTGAGAATATGCAAAAAAAAAAAAGAAAAATTGCAACTTCATGTACCACACTACTCACTCTTTCTTTTGGCCTCCACAAACAGTGATTGACTGTTGTAAAACTCAGAAAACAATTGAATGACGTCAGGGCTATAATGTGATCAATCTGAAGAAAAAAAAATCAAGATGTAAGCTGACTTTATTTTAAGTCATGCACTCATCAACTGTCATTTTTAACGAATACATTTTTATAATGAATATAAACTATATCTTGTTACATCAACCACTAAAATATGTTTGCTATTTGTGAGTAAAAAAAAAAAACCTTTTAAAAAAATCATTGTAACCTCAAACAAAAGTCATGTAATTTCATTGGTAATAAAAAGCAGAAATCTTGAAGAACATTCAGTTTTTGACTTTACTTTTCTATAATTGCATTTAATTATTTCAATATATTGTTACTCCTAGTTTATCAATCAATCAATCAATCAATCAATTCAATTAATAACTCAATCAATTAATCAATAACTTGTGATCTGCTTTGTCATTGCAGCAAAAGTGCCAAAAATATCTTGGGAGGCCTTTGAATGTCATCTTCAATAATGTGGAGGTCTTGGAGTCAAAAAGCTTGCGAACCTTTGATTTAATATATTGTACATGCTATTGATTTTTTTTAAAGGGGTCATATGATGTGATTTCAATTTTTCCTTTCTCTTTGGAGTGTTACAAGCTCTTGGTGCATAAAGAAGATCTGTAAAGTTGCAAAGACTAAAGTCTCAAATCCAAAGAGATATTCTTTATAAAAGTTAAGAGTCAACCACGCCTATCTAAAATGGCTCGTTCTAACACGCCCCCACATATCTACATCACTATGTGGAAATATTAGCATAATGCCGCCCAAATATGCACGCAAAGAAAGAAGGCGTGGTTTCAGAAACAGCAGTAGTGTTGTATTTACAACACTGTTCCAGAACAGTTCAACCCAAATATTCAGATGTGTGCAGCCCATTTTATGGAGGACTGTTTCCTGATCCTGGTAGAGTAGACTACAATACCGGCTGTTCTGACTCACAGACTGTAAGTGCGTTTTCATTTAAAGAATTTGCCACTGATGGAAGTAATGTCCATGGGCCAGTTGCATAAACATAGCCACTATGTTAAGACTGTCTTAAGAACTATAGTTTGACCAACTAGCAGTTAGCCAAAGGGTAACCAGTCTTGCTTTTTGGATTCAAATTAAACCAACCTACCTTTCTGTAACCGATTTTAAAAAGTTATGACCAGTCTTGAAGAAAAAAAATAAATGACTAACTTTTTAAGACTAGTCTAACCATTGCAGTTTTCCACCAAAGTTTAATTCAATTCACGTTTATTCGTATACTGCTTTTTCACAATACATATTATTTCAAAGCAGCTTTACAGGAGATGCATGGTAAAAGTAATTTGTTATCAGAGGTGACTATATTAAAGTAATGTCCATGGGCCAGTTGCATAAACATAGCCACTATGTTAAGACTGTCTTAAGAACTATAGTTTGACCAACTAGCAGTTAGCCAAAGGGTAACCAGTCTTGCTTTTTGGATTCAAATTAAACCAACCTACCTTTCTGTAACCGATTTTAAAAAGTTATGACCAGTTTTGAAGAAAAAAAAATAAATGACTAACTTTTTAAGACTAGTCTAAGCAGTTTATGCAACTGGCCCCATATGACAGAATTGTATAGTTCTTGGATTTTCTTTACTTAGTGGTCTTAAAGACAGTGCTCGTAAGCATCCTTCAGAATCCAAAAATAACAAATGGGATATCTGTTTTCGTCCACAAGCCTCCAAGCGTACCATTTGAGACAGGGCTAATACAAAAATGACCCCTTTAAAGCTTGTATTATTTCAACCTTAAATGCTTAAGACTTTAAATGTTTGTATTCAAATTCAAGTTGACAATTACGCTTTCCTAATAGTAGAGCCATTGCAGTTTTCCACCAAAGTTTAATTCAATTCACGTTTATTCGTATACTGCTTTTTCACAATACATATTATTTCAAAGCAGCTTTACAGGAGATGCATGGTAAAAGTAATTTGTTATCAGAGGTGACTATATTAAAGTAATGTCCATGGGCCAGTTGCATAAACATAGCCACTATGTTAAGACTGTCTTAAGAACTATAGTTTGACCAACTAGCAGTTAGCCAAAGGGTAACCAGTCTTGCTTTTTGGATTCAAATTAAACCAACCTACCTTTCTGTAACCGATTTTAAAAAGTTATGACCAGTCTTGAAGAAAAAAAATAAATGGCTAACTTTTTAAGACTAGTCTAAGCAGTTTATGCAACTGGCCCCATATGACAGAATTGTATAGTTCTTGGATTTTCTTTACTTAGTGGTCTTAAAGACAGTGCTCGTAAGCATCCTTCAGAATCCAAAAATAACAAATGGGATATCTGTTTTCGTCCACAAGCCTCCAAGCGTACCATTTGAGACAGGGCCAATACAAAAATCTTTGATGGTACTTATACTGAATGAATCAGCATTTTGAACAAATCAACTTAATGAATGATTCAATGACTCACTCATCAAAACAGCCACTTCTCGTCATTTATTGCTGTAACTTGCAGAAAGAGTCACTGAAAAATCTCCACCACCAATGCACAGACCGACAGTCTGTCTGAAATGCACAAACACAAACCCTGTGCTGTTCGACTGATATATCAGTCACTCAAGTGAACAAACTTACTGTTTTATAAAAATAGTACATAGGATCCAATACTATATTTCTAATGTTAGCATGTATTCATACTGTACTGGGCAAACTAATGCTTCTAGACTACTGAATTGAAAAATTCCAGTATCTTTGTGAAAACACAGCTGCATGTGTTCTTCCTGTCTGAATGCAGAGCTACAGTGATTTGGGAAGTTTCATGCAGTGTTTCTGCTGAACTGGCAGCAACTGTAAGAGTCGAGTGGAAAGAGTGACTGAGTCTCCTGGATGTGTGGAGTGAGTCAGACCCACCACCCCCCACCCCTTCCAAGATTCCACGGTAGTCATCACTTGAGCTGAACCCAAAACATTGCCGCCATTTAAACTTCCTCCCACCCCAAGAATCCACCTTTTTCCTTGTTTGTACGACTCATTAAGGGTGTTAAAGCAACATATCTACTGTACAACCCAGTTATCAAGTGAAAATCGATCACTCAGTTACCACAATGATATAAGGATACCTCACAATAGTGAGAGACAGAGAAGATCTCATCTACAAACCTGGCACTTAGGGCTTTTGGGTCAAGACGGCGATTGTGACTTTTCTTCTTTGAGTTCACTCACTTGTGGAAGTCACACCTCGCTGACAGGAAGCATCTGCTGGCAAGCTCTCAGGTTCACAGTACTCTTGTGAAGTACTCACAAACAAGCCTAGGCCAATAAACAAATTGATTTGTCATGCCAAAATATCAGACTTCTAAAAAAAAAAAAAAATAATAGAATTCATAGTACACAATTTGCAGATCTGAACTTATATTTTCATAGTATTATCTTGGTGCATTAACATACAAGTTCTTCATGCTCTTTAAGGTTTCAAAAGCTCTTATAATTAGAGTCAACTGCCTGTGAATGCAAACAGAAAACCTTAAAAGTGCATTATGCTTGGCAGCATCATCAAGCATTC